GTCAAATCCTGAGGGTCAAAGGTCGCCTTCCATCCCTCCTGAATCAACTGAAGAACTTTAAAATCCACGGAAACCTTTGAGCCTTTTCCAGTTTACATGCCATGTAGCTGCAGATTGCTAAAACCGCAGCAGTTAGCATGATGCTATGCTAGTGTAGCATCATGCAGTTAGCATGATGCTATGCTAGTGTAGCATCATGCTAACTGCTGCGGTTTTAGCAATCTGCAGCTACATGGCATGTAAACTGGAAAAGGCTCAAAGGTTTCCGTGGATTTTAAAGTTCTTCAGTTGATTCAGGAGGGATGGAAGGCGACCTTTGACCCTCAGGATTTGACCCCAGAAGAGATAAAATGGCATTTAACTCGGAGAAAGTTCAGGTTAAATCTAAACGTTTCTGCTGCTGAACTGGTTCTGGTCCATTTAGCAGCTTCTCTGGTTCTGATGAACGAGGCTCGTGTTTCCAAGCGTCTGTGATTTGACTAGGCTGGATTTACGGCTTCTCCATAACAACTGCAGCCACTCACATGAAATAACTCATGTTTAGGGGAAGAGCGGGATCAGTGGAGCCGCCTGGCGCTGATTAGTGGATGTGGAAGAACCGAGACACTGATTGGATCCAGCAGGCGATTCAGCTGCAAACTGATGGGTCTGGATCCAACATGGCCGCTGGGGCCCCGTCTCTCCTGTTGGACTCGATGACGGGCAGAAAGCTTGGAGGCGAGAGGATCAACAGACCGTCTGGTTCTGATCCGCAGAACCCTCACCTGTCCATGTAACCATGGCGTCTGTTGCAGCCAATCAGAGCCCAGAAGCCTCTCCCTTCTCCTCCACTTGGACGGCCTTCGTCCTCCTCTTCCTCCTGCCGAGGTCAGCGCTGCTGCAGGCAGACGGCCAACCTGATTGGCCGAGCTCCCAGTCGCCACGGCGATGCAGACGACACGTGAACAGCACGCTTCCAGTGTTGCTCAAAGGTCCCTGGGCAGACCCCCCCACAGACACACCGATGTGTTCAGAGGTCACACACACACAGACGCGTGTTTTCGTGTGTTGTGGGGACTTTCTATTAACTTCCATTCATTCTGCAGCCCAACCCAAAGCAGCATTTCTGTTCACCGTCTCACACTGCAGACAGAAATGGGTCCCACAAAAACCTGCTCCTGCCTCTCAAACACCATTTAACTGACCAAAAATAAAATCTCATAAAGGAACTGGACAGTTTTTTGTTGCTTTGCCTCGTCGCCTGTTTTCCCAGCAGCGCCACCTTCAGGAACAGATTCTCATGTCGGGCTGCACCTTTTAACTCGACGCTGCGTTTCCATTACTGATGACCCAAATCTTTGTTGATATTCTGCTAAATTTGTCAATTTATGTCGATAAAACATCATTTTAACCGCGTCGTTTCCATTACATAAGAAATTAAACTAAAATCAATATGTTTGTTCACATGAGAAAAACATGGCGGCATCAGAATAGAAGAACCAGAGAATCGTAGGCGGAGGCCTGAGGCCTCAAGGCCGGCGTCACCGGTTCGACTCCTGGCCTGGTGACCTTTCACCTTTCCCCCTCTGTCTGGATTTTCATGCTGAGTTGCTGCTTTAACTTGGAGGTCATTGTGGGAAACGGGCTGATCTGGAGCTCACCGTCCTGATCATGTCCTCCGCCTGCCTGCAGGGGGAGCTCCAGAGCCATCTGCTCACCTGTACCACCAGCAGGTAGCCGTCCTGGCTGTGAACGCTGAGCAGTCCGTCTCTACGATCTTCCCGTCTCCTCCTGATCCTCCTGGGATCCATCCGATTCCTCTCGTCGCTCCGCAGCTCAGCCAGCCTCCCATAATTCCTTGCAGCTTGATCAGCAGTAGATTTACGAGCTGCTGCGGCAGCTGGCGCTCCGTCAATCATGTGACCTCATCAGAAAGCTGTCAGGGCGGGTTACCTGCTGCTAGCCTCGCCCTGCCAGGCCGCAGCGCTGAGTTATGGTTCGGCTTTAATGCGACGCAGCAGCAGCAATGAAGCAATGAAGAGCCGTAAGTCATGACACCCACAGCGGCGCAGGGCGGAGGCTTCTTCACACTACTGGACCGGTTCCACCCGGTTCTGATCCGCTCTGGGTGCAGAAGAGGTCCACTTCCCGCTGCATGCTGGGAAACAAGGACGGAATCAGGCTGCTACCTGCAGGAAGGGTCAGAGGTCACAGCTGGAAACCTGACTTAACTTCGTTTACAGTTAATTCATGTAAAGCACTTTGAATCGTCCTAGTGCTGAAAATGTGCTATAAATAAAATCACTTTACGGTTTAGTCAAAGAAAAATCATTTTTTAAAGTCATATTTTATTTATTCATTTATAAATGTTACAGTTTCAAACTAAAATTTAGTTAACAAGCTAAACATTTGATATTTAGTGGGCTAGCTAAATATTTAGTTCCGAACTAAATGGTTAGCTCAGAGCTAGCAACACAATATCTGAAATGGTCAAAATACAAGAAATGAATCAATCCCTCCAACAACTTGTGACGTTTGGGTTGTATTCAACGGAGGAGAGCAGGCGGCAGACTCAACCACACCGGTTCTGGGACGTTGTCTTGTAATAAACTATCTTCACCAGCCTTACAAAGCCGGACGAACGGCTGCTAATTTACCAACCAGTTCTGGTTTCTGACATGGGTAATACGGGCAACCGCTCAGGACGTTATCTTTTTAGGGATGGCAGGAGACCTCTGCGGATTGTGGCACAGAGATGAA